CAATTCTAGAAGTCAGGGAGATTAAGCAGGATGAAGCTGAGAGTTTATTAAATGCAAACAATTGGACACGAGTCTGACCTCAGCTGCTTGGATTTGGTACCCCCAGGTACAAGGAGATAGGCCAGGGAATGCAAAAGAACAATGGAACCAGGAATGAGAGACATGAGCTCTCATTCCATGGTCTCCAGTTACTAGCAAGTGGATAACAAAGAGTGTCCTCATCTGTTCAAGAATATCTCCATCACGTTCTCTCTACCTTCTAGACTTCTCATCAGACTTCAGTGGCAGTGCAGAGGAAAGCTTCTTTTGTGAACTACAAAATCATCTATGGAGGAAGGCATTAATTAATGTTAATATCATTACCCACTATTACTACTGAAAAGACACCTCAGATGCAGGATGGTGGGTCAACAGATTAATCTTCCCATACTCTATTCAAAAGCAAATTCTGACACTTGATTTTTTCCTTCCTTGATGGAAATTAAGGGGAAAAAATGAGGAGGATGGTTCTTTTGAAAGATTTGCCTGTACTCTTAACTCGTTTCAAACCTCAGTTTCAAAAGCAGTGAGTTGTTTCATTTAATCAGTGAGAAAGCATATCCCACAAAAGGCAGCTCCCTGAAGGGCAAGCTGCTCAAACACCGTTTCCATGGCTGCCTGCTGCAACAATATTTTTTACTGAACTAAGCATTGCTAATTTTAGCCACGGATTATCTGGAAAGCAAGGAAGAAATAGATGAAAGGCAATTTTTACCTGAGCCACATGAGCCCCAGAGAACTTTTACTAAGATAGAGATGCTACTAGAAAAAGCAACTATGTAACTCCGATGCCTTGGGGACATTTTTCAACTGCTCTCCATCAGCACCTGGACGAAGGAGGGAGATACCACTTTCCTGATTCAGGAAGAAATGGCAACTCAGTGGTGAAATTATTTGATCCAGATCATGACAGCCTGTATAAGAAAGCAGAGTATCATCCCAGCCTGACTTCTGGTCCCAGGCCCTTCCATTAAAGGAGCAATATTTGCTTTGAGGGCTAAGCTATTTTGGATGCTGGTTCCAGTAAGCTGTGTCATGATGGGACTTGAAATAAAGATCTGCATAGGGAGGACAGGAAATAATATCTATAATAAGATTACTTTGATTTTGACCAAGGCAATAAGGTTAAAAAAAGCAACACACAGATGCTGTCCCATTCGCAAAGAGTCAGATACTGCTGAAATAAGTGACGTTAAACTATCTACAAAGAAATCACAGAGAGGCAGATAGATTCTTTATGATCTCAGCTGCTATATCTTCCATAAGCAACAAATCCTCTAGGTAATAATGGATTGCTTGAATTGCATTTGGAATTGTCCAGATCCCAGCATGGGATGCAGAGGTAATCCCTATGGGATCTCAAATGAGGAGACAATGAGCCCTTATAAACAGGGGCTAAAGAGTCAAGTCAAGCCCCTGTGGGTACAAGACTTTAGCAAGTCCTGGTGAGTCCCAGTCCCAGGTCCCACTGATACTCACTCTCTAGGGTCGGTGGCTGCAACCCCTAGGGTAGACTAATTCTATATGGCCTTCAGCAAATTTCAGAATGTCTGTGTCCCCTTCCTTCTCTCTCTCCTTTTTTTCAGACTCTCATTTGTACTAAGGTATAGAAAGCTAATAAAAACAGTTATTATCCTGTAGGAAATTTGTTTTTCTCATGAATCTAAACCAGAAGCTAAAGAGAGTTATTGGCAATCATAGCAGCAGAGGTAGAGAACCGTTTTTGAAAAGTCTTCAAAGACACAGACTGATTTCTGCACCAGGAAAGCTGGTGGGCTATTGAAGGAGGGGGCAAAGAAAAGCAGTCACAAGGGGCCTTCCCCAGTGACTTCTCATGATCCAGGGAAATTCTGATCAAGGAGTGGTATGGGATTCCTTGATCACTCAAGAGTGGCACAATACTCCTTACAGATTGCCTGGGGAAAACCTCAAATATAATGTCTCTGCAGACTGTGTCCCTGAGTGGATTTATTCCCCATATTGGAGGGCTTCTCAAGCTTCTCTCTTGTCCCCACGGTGCCATGTGATTAACAGATGGGGTTCATCTATTCAACTCAGAGTGTAGTGGAGTCCAAGAAAAAATTCTTCCTGAAGGAAATAATATCTGAACGGGGTCCTACAGAATTAACAAGGTCAATCTGGGGAAGAAGAAAGAGAAAGCATTCCAGGGAAGAGGACCATCAAAAGGTAGGACTTAGGAGAATACTATTCAGCCATAACAAAGAATGAAATCTTGTCATTTGCAATAACACAGGTGGAACCTGAGAGCATTATGCTAAGTGAAATAAGTCAGAGAAAGACAAATATAGTATGATATCTCCCATATATGGGATTTAAAAAAAAAAAAGCTCATAGATACAAAGAAAAAAATGGTGGTTGCCTGAGGCACAAGGTAGGCAAAATGGGTGAAGGGGTCAAAAGCTATAAAGTTCTAGTTATAAACAAATAAGTCATGGGGATGAAATGTACAGCATGATGACTAGAGTTAACAATACTGTGGTGCATATTTGAAAGTTACTAAGAGAGTAAATCATAAAAGTCCTCATCACAAGAAAAAAAAATTTTGTTAAGTATGTGTGCTGATGGATGTTAACTAGATTTGTTGTGGTGATTAGTTTGCAATATATACAAATACTGAGTCATTATGTTGTACACCGGTAACTAATACAATGTTATATATCAGTTAAACTTAAAAAAAAACTGGGTATGAGAAATAGTATAGTGGGGAACCTTAAATTTTCCTGTGAGGTGACTAGATGGTCTCCCATGCACCTTTATCTGGGTCATGCAGCACACCGTGTGCCCTGCAGAAGAATTTGGGTAATAACTTGTAGGTGCCCAGAGCCACTGAGAGCTGTGAGCAGAGGGACAGCATGGTGCTTTTTCATATGAGAGAGACAACTCTAGCCATGGTGTGAAGGATGGATTCGAGGGAGTAACACTGAGAATAAGTCACCATTGCCGACAACTTCTTTTTTTGTTTGTTTGTTTAAGATTCATTTACTTATTTCAGAGAGAGAGAGCAGTAGTAGAGGGAGAAGAAGGGGCAGAGGAAGAGGGTGACAAGCAGACTCCCTCCTGAGCGGGAACCCCGTCATCATCATCGCAGGATTCTATCCAGAGTTAGATGCTCAACCAACTGAGCGACCCAGGTGCCTCACAGATCTTCTTGTGTTTCATTGTTTCCTTCACTCTCTTCATATCAATTTAGCTTTTGTCATATTAACACATTCTTTAAATGAAATGTGAAAATGACCATTATGCTAGTAAATTAAAAAGCAGGGTGAAAAATTATAAGTGATTTTAATCTTAACATTGTAAGCATGCAAAGAAAAGCTACTGGAAGGAGATGTGTCAAATTTGAATCAGAAGCTAAGAATTTATCTTAAGAAAATAATTAGAGCTGGGAAAAGTGAACTATGTTTAAGAATGCTCACTTTTGGGGCATCTGTGTGGCTCAGTCGGTAAAGGATCTACCTTCAGCTCAGGTCATGATCTCAGGGTCTCGGGATTGAGCCCTACATTAGGCTCCTTGCTCAGCGGAGAGTCTGCTTCTCTCTCTCTCTCTCTCTCTCTCTCTCTCTCTCTCTCTGCCTGCCACAGCCCCTGCTTGTGCTCTCTCCCTCTCTATCTCAAATAAATAAAATCTTAAAAAAAAGAATGTTAACTTTTATTTATGAAGAAAAAGGAGAAGAAAATTAAATACATATTAATAAGGGGAGGTCAAGAAAATTTTAGTAAATCTAAAATATATATGCAAATATTTTATCCTAGATTAATAATGTGATGCAATAAATATAAAAAAAATGCAAAAAGAAGCTTCCAAAGAACTGAAGAGCATGATCCCAAATTTGTGTGTTTACACACACGTGTGTGAGTGTATACATGTGTGTTATAGTAGGGAGTATTTATATATTACTGTAATTAAGAGCATAAGCTCAAGAGTCACATGTAGTAGGTAGGTACCCTTGGGCAAATTTCTTAACCTTTCTATGCCTCAGTTTCTTCATTCATAAAATGAATAATAGTTCCTTCCTCAAAGGGTTATTGTGGGAATTAAATAAATTAATATGTATAAAGTATGTAAGTAGTGCCTAGCATATTTTTATGTTAGAATTGTTATTATACAAGAAAAATGTAAGAAAAAATACATGCTAAAATATTTTGAACATCCAATCTCCAGACTGTTGGTTTTGAGTGATTTGTGTGCATTTTGTGTTATAAATGTTCTGTAAAAGTCATTTAGTTAAATATTAGTTAAATATTCAGGGGAAAAAAATCACTCAAAAAATGTGGGTTGTCCAAAGGGCCAACACTCCTGATCTGGAGCCCAGATCATGTAATAAGACTCCTTTTCTTTTAATTTTTTTAATTTTTTATTTATTTATGATAGTCACACAGAGAGAGAGAGAGAGGCAGAGACATAGGCAGAGGGAGAAGCAGGCTCCATGCACTGGGAGCCCGATGTGGGATTTGATCCCGGGTCTCCAGGATTGCGCCCTGGGCCAAAGGCAGGCGCCAAACCACTGCGCCACCCAGGGATCCCTGTAATAAGACTCCTAAGCCAGTAATGCAGGTGCCAGTTTGAAGTCCCACCTCCAAGACAGTCCATGAGTCTGAACTTGGGCTGCCCAGAGAACCTCTGAGTCTGAGCTTTCCCACCCACTGCATGTGAAAAACTGTATCTCTTCTAACTATCTTACAGCATTGCTGGCATATACAGGATAATGAATGTGACAGTTCACTGTGGAGCTATAAAAAGCGATACACATGCAAGGATTTCTTAACAAAGCAATTCCCTCACTGGCTCTACCTCTTGTTTCTCCACCTGCAAACGGCAAATCTCAATGCAGAGGATTGTGCCTATTGGTTAGGCAATTACTGGAGAGCGTGCAGCCTTTGAAAAGCATGCTGTTTAGGATGCAGGATACTTTTGCAAATCAGCACCCTTGATTACTCACGGAAAGTCTGTGTTGTTTGGGCTGATCCATGCCATTTGCTTCTCTGCTTCTTTTTCCTGCTGTCAGCCTTTGCTCATTTTATTACTTATTAGCAACGAGCTATGAGGTAAGGAAGAAAATATAAAGGGGGGATGGCACTCGCCATAAATTAAAAAATGCAACTTTTTAGTGAAAATACCATGAGCGAGGGAAGATTCTAGAACCTGCTGTGTTTTTTAGGAGATCCAGTTAACCTGTGACTTTCATCACTGCCTTGATATAAAACCTTGGCAAAGTGTATGTGCCCTTCCCACACATTCAGAGATGTGGTCTTACTGCTGAAGGCTCAAGACACACATGGCGCCTGCATTTTCAAATTTGGTTATACTCCTCATTGCTGTGCTTTGGACTGCAATCTTCTCCCAGAAGTGTGAAAACACCCACAGTGCACACCCACGCTCCTTTATGTATCAGCCTAGTCTGCATCCCATAACCCCCTTTCCATGACAGAAGGCTCTTCCCATAAGTGCCTCTAGTCTTCTGTCTCCAAGAGTAGATTGACATTTCCCATCTCAAGCTGGAGATGGAAAAGGCCCATTCTCCATGCTTATTTCTTCTGGGGGTCATGTAGCATGAGGTACTTCTCAGGATGATCTCAACCACACAGAAATTTGGGAGGTCTGGGGCACAAAACCCCAACCAAATCCATATCCAGCTAATGACCTTTAGAGAGAGAAAGGTTTGAATCAAGAAACATAAGGATGCGATATCACAATATTACAACATGATGACAGTCGAGGCTACATTTGTAGGTTTCCAGTTCTAAGCAACGAAAAACCCACTCATCAGTTTAAGGAGAATGGGCTTCCAGAAGGAACGGCAGGGAGCGGCAGGAATCTGAGGTTTGTATACCCTCAGGACACCCGCTTCCTTCCACATCTCCTTTACAGACTCTGTTCTCTGAGGTTGGCTGTCCTTAGAACCCATGGCAACAAGCACCACCAGACTTTTATCTTTCAAGTCTCACAACCATAAAAAAGAGTTCTTGATTCTTTGGTGGGTCAGTATGGCTGCTGGCCTTCAAAGAACTGTGACTATCATGTGGCCTATTTTTCTCATGATTTTCCTAATACACATGATTTACTCATATGATACTCATATGGTAATATGAGTATGTGATATTTACATAAATTTATATATATATAAATATATATATATCTATTTATGACTAAATTACAAAAATTAAGCAAGAGAAGACACTTTAGCTTCACTTGCTGCCCATGAGGGGCTGGGGAAAGTTTGATGGTGAGACACAGAATTCTCTCTCTAATTTCCTAGTGATAGAGGAATGACAGAGAACTCCAGAAACATGATGAAGTCCCATCTGATGATTATCTGTACTTGTTTCATATGTACATTTTAGAACTCAAATTAACCATTTTAGGAAAACACGTTGTCCTCTACAAGCAGAAAAGTGCGTTCTGGTGTTTTCCAACCACAGAATTGGCATATGATCTGCAGGGCCAATGTTATTTATAGGACAATAACAATAAAAAGGTGTGTGCTTGGAGCCAAGGTACACCTGCATTTAAACTTCAATCCTTCTACTGGCTATAAGGATTTGAACGAGTTATTAACCTCTCTGGGACATTTTCCACATCTGAACATGGAAATAATAAAATCTTTTGTTGGGGTTTGAAGTGCTGAAAGTCCTGGATCTTATGAATGCCCAAGAAACTTCAGGCTGCTGTGTAGACACTAAATGGGCCAGTACCATGGAGAACCATGACTTGCTGTCAGCTATTAAGTCCATAGAGTCCAAAGAGCAAGTCAAAGAGAAGTTAAAGCTCAGGGTGCTGAGGTCACTTTGTGCAAAATTGTAAACGCATAAACCCAATAAAATGGAAAAGTCTAGACTGATTGATTTCTTGTCATACCACAAATTAGTCAGAGCACTCTTTTCCCATGGAAAGAAACCAGTGAGGGATAGAAGAAAGGACTTATCGTCTGAGAATTCTAAGATATGTAAAGTTCTTATTTTTATGGGCTGAGGCAGAAAAGCAAGAACAGCTATGTAGTAGTTTGCCTACACCTGGCTTTCAGAGTTGGAATGAGGATTAGATTATATAATCAAGTGTATTTTATAAAAATCTATGCACTCTTGCAATGCAAAAATACTGAAAAGCATTTTAACTGTAGTAAACACAGGATGACACATCCTTGTCCTCTGGGTTCTGTTGTCATCCAATTCACTTTCATATAGCGACCATCCACCTGCCCTCCTCAGAGCCTCACTTCACCTTGAAATTTGAATGAGGGTAAAGGAAACATAGAGAAAGGCAGGGGAGCGAGAAGAATAGAAAGGCTACAGGCTGGCTTCTTTCCAGTTCATCCCTTAATCTCCTGTATGGCTGCTCATGGTTGGGAAGGGGAGAAAGAAAAGGCAGTGAAGGCCATTGCTGTACTCCAATCTTATATCTTATATTAGAAAAGCTTTCAGAAGAAAAGAAAGAAAGACTTAAATAAAATCGCTTGCCAAGAAGAGTTGCACTGAAGCTTGACAATGGAACTGATAGCTAGTAATATATTTGGGG